GTACAGTAACATGTACTGTAGGCCTAATCTCAATGTGTATTTTCTTGATTTGGTTTGTCCACTAAAACAGCATTGGCGTTATGATCACAATTCAAAGCTATTATGGTCTTGCCTAAACAACAAAAAAAAACCCCTTTGTAAGGCATTATTTCAACATCCTCGTGTTCAGTTAAATAAAACAAGTTTGACTATTTCCACAATAAAGTAATCAAAAATTTACATACTCAATAGGTTTCAATTAACACATTATTATACAATTTTGTTTCAACTTGCTTACAAAACCACAAAATAAAAGGTGGTATTATTTTCAGCACCAAAAGCACAGACACAGGCAAGATTTGTCCGGAGCCACCTGGTAGCCAAACAGGGCCAGCTGAAAACCCAGCAGCTGGCCTACAGTACAACTGTTTCACTAACATCAGTACCTCTATGGAACCAAACTGTAAAGTAATGTACTTGAATATGGCCGAATAACGTTTTTTATTAGTTTATCACCCTTGTGCACATGTCTTCTATGGTATTGAAAAAAAAATGTGAGTAAACAGTTAAAGTAGATATTATTTATATTATTTCAATGATGTTTTACTTTGAGTATCAATGCACCAGCAAACAACCCAAGGGTGATACTTGGCTTTAGCAAAAAAAAGAAAAAGAAAAAAAAAAAAAATACTGTAAATTGCCATTGCCATATTTTAGAAGGCCCAACTTCAAAGCAATTTAAATTTCATAGAATATAAAATGTAAAAAAAGGAAAAGAAATGGATGTACGGTATTTCCCAAATTAAAAAAAAAGGTGTTTTTTTTTCTTGGCTATTAAAGTACCAAGTGATCTGTTGCATGTTGGAAAATTCAATTGTGATGGATGTTTATAATCAGCAGCCACTACTGTACTGTAGTCAGCAAAAGTGAATCAGTATCTGAGTACCACAAATGAAACTAACATTTTGAAAATAAGAATAATGCGAATTGGCTGGTCTGAGCCAAACCAGCAATTTTACACTCCAAAGACACCACTTTCCACAGATAGTGATTAAAGTATTTAATGATTAGTTTAGCAATCACAAGCAACATATACATTAAATCTAGTAAAAACAATACAGATATAACAATTACCAAACAGTAAATACAGTACTTCATACAGTACCTCATTTTAACAACAGATCTAGGTCCAAACACAAAGAGTAAAATTGATAAATCCAACACACAAGATAAACTAAGAAATAATTACATTAATAATTAGTTTGTTAACAGGTTTGGGAAGATTATCGGTTCGGAACTGCAATTGGTGCACTCAGTCTACGAAGAACGACTAGTTAATAAGTTTGATAACGTGATGTCTGACGAAAGTCACCCGTTACATTCAACTATTGCTAGTTGCGTTATACAACGCAGCGGTAGACTGAGGGTACCGGCTGCTAACACGAACCGTTATTCTAACTCATTCATTGCGAGGGGCATTTACCTGTTTAATAGTAGATATGTAAGATAGTTATTATTTATTGCATTGAATTACTTTTCCTGCTTAATTTATTGAAAGAGCGATGTAATTTCCAAGGATTTGGATTAATAAAGTGATGTCTATGTCTATGTCTACATACCCCTCCGTCCGAACAGGGTTTGTAAATGAGAAAATGCATAATTCAGAGAGTTTGAATTTTCAGCATCTCAGTGTGGCGAGGGTAGGCTTAGGTCTATGCTACCAAATACAGGGCTAGGTAGGCCCTAAGCTTTGGCATGGGAGAAAAATTTTGTCACGAAATATGATTGGGATTTTACTTTTTTCTGCAACAAAATAATACTTTACAGAAGCCAAAATTAACTGTGCTCTCTGTAAAGTATTCATTTAAAGTGATTTCCGAATAAAAACATGACCATATAATGCCCAAAACGAGTGTTATTATTCTTTTTATAAAGATCGTGAATCCATGCGAATAGCGCCCCTAATGATGAAAGAGGGAGATTAACTGTATAGTATAGTATGCCTCAAAAAGCATGCACAGCTCAAATATAATATATTTCGGCAGAAAATGATTAGCATTTCTTGCTTGAATCTTGGTTTTGTATCACTTTATAGGACTGAATGATTTTTCTCCTACCTGATATAAAAATTTTAATTATTTCTGAAGAACTTTATATGCAAGTGTTCTTGTAGATAAAAACGATAGTAATGATGTCATCGCCGCAAAATGATGTTCAACAGAAATTTTTTATTCTTCGTTCACTAAGATTGCCAAAAACTCAAATCATCCCCTACACCCCTTTCTTCCTCCACGCCGTAATTGTTCCATCTCTCTTGGAAACTCCCGCCACACACTATTTCTTCCATTTTCTGGTTGCTTATTGAGGTTCTTGTCATCTTTCTTTCCTCATGCAATTAAAATTGCTAATGACCTACTATTGACCCTTTGTTTACTTCTCCCAATGAGATTAAAATTAAGTTAGGAATTCTTAACCAGTAATGTTTGGTTTTATTGTGTTGATTGTATACAGGTGTGTGTTGTTAATGAGTGGATAATACAGTAGCCCTTGATGGCTTTCGCAACAATAAACAGAACTTGAATCTTGAATTCGGTTCTTAAATTCGAGAGTTCGTAAATGAGAGGTTCGTAATTGGGAGATGTTACTGTATTGTACACTGTATGTTTTATAATCTGCACAACAAAAATGTTAATGTGCAGACATTTCAGACTCAATTTGAGATTGTCGTTTGCCTTGAGATACACAATTGTCAATACCGGAAGCATAGCAGAATTTTATTAACAACTATTATAATATCAAAGATTAATAAAAATGATGAATTGCTGGCAATGCTACCAGTAACATTAATGATGGCTCAAAATTTCCTCAAAACAATTTTTGCTGACGTCAGTGCTTTGTATTGCAATAACAATCACAAGGTAAACATGCCAGAATAAAATTATTGTTCACACATCAATCAAATCTGCTACTGACTAATATTGACATTAGGCATCAAGCAGACAGGTGATTTGTGTCTGTATGAAAGGCTATAAACTTGGTCTGAGAATCGTCAATAAACTGATCTATTAAAACATTACTGCAGGCCTACCTCAAATTCAACATTCCATCATACAATTCTGGACTGGGATTATAGCTACCTGTAGCTGTACACAGCGTAATATTACAAACACATTTATATTTTTTACATTAACCACCAGAAAGAATTTGTGCTTGCCAACTCACTATGGTATTGTTAATGTCTACAGTAGTAGGTCTACAGTATTATACTTCAATTTTTCCTAATTTTTGTCACCTTTCTGGACTGAAATCTATAAATTCTTTTAAATAATTCCAATTTCAACTGAGATTAAAGTCAATTTTGCATTTTTTTTTTGCGGATGTAATTTTTCCACTTGCACTGTAAACACTGCCTGCATACCGCAGACACATGATTCGCCAAGAGCGTCACAAGGGGTCTTGGCAAACGAAAAACAATAAACATATAAGACGTCAATTAAAAAATGGTAGGATTCTTCATCAATTAGATGGGATAGAACAAGAAACCAACATAAATAGTGAACAGTGAACAGGAGGAATAACACATGGAGGTCAAAAAGATTAGATACTTTACAGTAATGATAACCTTCTTTAAAACATAATAAAATCATAAGCAAAAAACATATGAAAAACATATGGAAGAGCTATATTTAGCTTTCTTGCATTATTATTCTTGAAAAAAAACACACTTTATCTACATTAGTCTCTCCCTACCCAGGCGCATACATTGTAGACCCAGCGTAGAGTTTATTTTTTAATTACTTTAAAATGATTTCAGCATGCAGTATAAGAAAAAAGAAAAATGTTAAATGTATTGAATTTTTTTAATTTTTAGTATGAAAAATACTAAAATATAAAATCAAAATTTTATTAAAAGCTGGTTCTTACAATGTGGAAAATGATCTTGATGTTTAGCAAACATTGAGTCAATGTAAACAGTCAAGTACCAGACACTAGATTAAATAAAGGTAATTTCATGTTATTTGAATCTAGAAAATTTATGTTAATTACATAATTTTGGATTTGAAATGTACTGCAACCAAATCATTAAATTTTCATTATCACAGTGCTTACTATGGAAACTTGTGAATGTGTAACCTTGGTGGTTACCTTAGCAACTATTTTCTCACCTGCATTTATTAATTTAATCCATATGACAATTTATTATGAAGCTATGAGAGTTACTGAACACCTACCAACTCTCTCACTGACTCTAGCAGTATCCAGTACATGTGTTCAGCAAACAATGCTGAGCATTCAGCCAGAAAACATCTATTCACACATTACAGCTTATCTTTTACGTGTAGACCTTTGTCAAGTAATGTCCGTAAATGATGGTATTAAGACTCCACATATGTTAAGTATACAAACTTAATCATATCCAACACTAACAAATTTGTGGTAAACATACATGGTGTATTTTATGCAGTTTATGCCACTGATGAGGAGCTTAATATTTTCAAATTGGTGATAATGATAATTAAACCACAATGAATTTGCCTTTTGATGGTTGTGGTTTTAACCAATATTAGATGGTCAGACTGCCATAGTTTCTACACAATACACTACAACAAAATATGATAGATATGTAGTGAACAAATAAAAGGTAACAGGATACTCAGAATTCCAAGATCTTAGATTAAATTGGCATCAAGATTAAACTAATATTCAGTTACACCAATAAAGAAACTAAGTGGACTTGATTTAATTAAAATATCTGGAATGTAATTCAAATTTCTGGGAGATTCTTAAGATTTCTTTAAGAGTATTATGAGCCTACAGCTCTATCAATTCTTGTATCTGCGAAAGTATTCGTTGTTGTATATAAATTCAAAACATAATTTATAAACAATTATAGAAACATAGCATAGTTCCTATATCTTTCTATGGGAACTCAACAGTTTACAAAGACAGTTTCATGGTGGTCAAAAAATATACTTTGATAATTTCTTTTAGATTCTAGTGGCAACAAATAGGATACTTACAGTCTACACCCATAGGCATATTACTATATCGTACATTGCTAATATATATCCAAATACTGATTGTAACATTAATGTTATTAATGTATTTCCTCACACTTGATCAGTTGGTTCATCAGAGCTGTTTGAATTCACAGAACGGGGAAACTTCAAATGTTTCCAAGCTTAAATCACTATATAATGTATTATGAATGGTGCCAGTTACCGGATAGACAAGTGAGGTCTAACAAGCTTCAATGCTCTCAAACAAACACTGCCCATTCACTGGATTCATTGTCATACAGAGCTGACCAATCACAGACAGTGTACTAGCAACCCATGGCAAGGTGAGACAGCTCAACCAGTAAATAAGAAAGATAATGAGAGAAAACACCTTCAATACAGCTAGGTAGAACAAGTAAAAGATGGAAAAAATTGGATTGACAAATCCTACTTTAATGAGAGCAGGAAGTCAGAGACAGTGTTAATTTAGCCTCTAAAACCTAAACCAACCAAATAAGGTGTTTATTGTTGAGAGCTGAATAATCAATATCTGTAATACAAAGGTTATTTCATATGCAAATTTTGCTCACATAAAGGATGATGATAAATCTATTGTGTGTAAAGTATGTTGAAATAAAAAAAGATCCTTAGCAATCAACTCAGGGACATTCACTGTCAACAACATTTAAAAAAAATATATAAATCACTATTATATAATTAAAATCTATTTATACTTTTGGACATGAGAATAGCATATTTATTCTATTTTAAATTGTTTTAAGCTTTTTTTGTTTTATCTGTATGGGTTGTGGGTGGTTCCTTCACCTTGTTCTTTAGACACACCCTCTCTAAAGCGTATTTGAATAAATTATAAATAACTTTCCTTTTTTTAAAGATCATGCTGTTCTAAATTTCAATATCACTTACTGTAAATGACTGAATAAGCACCTCTCTTGCTCTTATACTTTTAATAAGCATCATGGTGCTTAAACGAGAGTGCATTACCAAACAAACTTGCCTTGATTTGCTTTCTGCAATTGGTATACTATTATTAAACAGAGATAACTACAGTAGTAACAAGTCATATATTATAGGTTTATGTCAAACATACGTTGAAATTTAACAATTCACTTGTCGAGTACACAGGTATTTCGTGTCCACCTACCAACGTCGAGAGTAATAGTCAGCAATATTTGAAAACAGCAATTTCACGTTGCCACATTACACTCACACTTTTATCATTGGTTTTAATGTAGAATGTTCTATATTTGGGAGTCTGCCTTGTCTCTTTTTTGCAGAGACTTAAATCACACCTTTTTCTTTGTTTTTTTTTTGTTAATTTTTAATTTTGTTGTTAGGAACGGCTAGGCTAGATGCCAACACTATTAAAGTGTCCGTGAGTCATGTATGGCACTTGCTAACCACTGTTTAAATATCTGATATTATTATTATCAACAAAATCCCTTAAAGAGTACACAATAAAATTTTAATTAATGTGAAATATGTTTATTTGTGAAATTTTTTTGAAATTAATGTTTGAATTTTCATACTGATTGCTAAAGAAAGCAAAATCAGTGTGTTATTTTTCTTATCAGTTTGGTTTCTTGTGAAAATGATGAAAACGATTTCATGATCCTAATATGGCTTGAAATAGTCAGTACAATTAGTGATAAGGTAGTTGAGAACAAAATGTTACACAGAAAAAAAACCCCAAAAAATAAAGTTAATAATTTACTATTCTAAATTTGCTGCACTTGCAGTGATACAGAATTAATCATCTTGAATAAACACAGGTTGTATAAACAGTGATTACCTACATTCCAGCCACTAAGTTTACAATGTATTGTATAAAACTGCTCCTTACTGCCCTATACAAATATGTTGAAGTCAACACCTACCTATCCCATGCAAACCACCTAGACATACCATATCGTACTAGTATCAGTGGACTTGTAGACAAAAATACACAACCTGTACAGATCAGCTTTCATAAGGCACTTTCACTTGTCTATTAGTTGTGATTCAGTGGTAAATAGAAATTTGGACAAAAAAATAATGATAACAACGTGGGCGGATGCACATTTTGAGAGACTCGGAAACTAATGTTAAAGAGAGGACATGGACCGCAGAAAGCCACTGTCATATGTGAGAGGTGAAGAAAAGGGTGTGGCAATCGAGTCAACACTACTCTAGGGGGTCCTACAGTATTTTTGTTTTCCAAACGCCTAAAAATAAACCTCTGAGTCATTTTAGGAGAATCAATTATATCTTTCTTTTTCTTTTTTTGACTTTCAAAAAAGGGAGGTTGTTGTTTCCCCCTAAATCCACCCCTGCCTTGATGAGGGTACCAGAAAAGCTCTGGCAGGTTCGGCAGTGGGGGGGGGGGGGATGATGAGATTGGTAACATGTTTTGATAGGCAAATTAAATATTTTTAGCACACCAATGAGGGACTTTGTAAGTTTGCTGAATATATAGGCCTACCACAAAATTATTTTCTTTTTAGTTTGAACGATATCGGGGGTGGGGAGCTAGCAGTGGTTTACTAGACTACAGTTCAGTACATTCAAAATTGTCTGTCAAAGTTTTCAACCCGATAATCACGAACGTACACGATCTAGGCCCTAGGCTAGGCTAGCCTTGCTTGCGAGATTAAACTGTTACTTAGCTCTACAACACAAGTATGTATACTGTATAGCAAAGCGACTCACACGTTGCATTCTTAAATTATTTCACACATTATTTAAATGTATTTTACGTATTAGACGGTAACACAAAATCACTGATTAAATTATTATTAACGATACTAGGATGCCCTTTCTACCACCATCACATTGCATCTGCCCCCCTGTTTTAGTGGAAAAACCCAAGGTAGTAATACCTTCTTAATAGTCTACGTCATACAGCCACTGTCCTGCATCTACCTCATTAACAAAATAACAATTACAAATAACTTGCGAGGCACACAATGACGTTTGCAGCAAAATTACTCATATAGCAACACAAATAAGCGTCACATGGAGCTGGCGAAAAATGGAGCTCAACTGAAAAAAACGATGTATTTTAGCAAGAAGTATTTAAAACATTTTTGATTTTAGGCCTTCGTTAAAATGGATAAAGCAGTTTATTTTTTTTTTTTGCTGATCCAAAATAGTTTTCACCCCTGGCAACTTGGCGATTGGTTAGCGTGAGCCCAGAAAAGCGATTCCTTGGGTTGTTGGGGGGGGGGTTTACTTTACTTGACTGTGCATGAGACCAAAAATGTGTTAAAAGAATGGATTTTTTATTCCTACCTAAAATATAAAAAAATTACATATCTAAATTTCAAAATAGGACATATTTGTAAAATACAAATAACATGACTGATTTGTGGGCCAGGTTTTTTAAAAAGTAGATTTTATTACAATACAAGTTACTTAGATTGATGTTTTTTCACTGCAAAATGTGTTACGTGATTTTATTGGTCGATTCCAGCAAGCACATTAAAGTCTCAAAACAATGTAGCTAACTGTATAGAAATTCAGTGAACTGGAAAAAAAGACAAAGTAAAAATATAAAAGACATCACACTAATGGAGGTATTTCTAGCAGAAAGTTCAAATAGGGTCTGTCAAATAACTATAGATGTAAATTCCTGCCATATTCCATCAAAAGTGTAAACAAATTAATTGATAAAAAACTTTTTAATACAAAATCAGGAATTCTTAAACAAGCGGTTAACAAACAAGCTCATGATTGACTGACATTGTTTCTTGTTAACTGTACTATTCATACTGTGACCCTTTTTTTTCTAATTGATATTATTATTTCTTGATAATGCATAAAAATACCAGTAATTAAATCTCAGTCATTCTGCCTACAACCCACTCAAAAGCAATTATCAAAGACTTGAGAAAAAATCCTGTGTAAATAAATCAAAATTCAAAAGAATGAGCCACAGGGGCTAGAAACCTAGCCTGGCTGAAAGGGCAAATGGCCATCACACACTGCCAATACATTTCTTGTACTATAGCCATCATCACCATCATTACAGTATTATTAGGACAATTTCTCAACCACATAAAGTATTGTTTATAAAAATATGCCCATGCCCAGGGGAAGGAAAGTGTACTTCTATGTGAAGGCAGCCTGAAAAATATTTCAACAATTGTTTTAAAGCTCTACACAATATTGCTCCCCAAACAATTTGTCAGTCTCCCACACAGTAGGAAAGCCACTGGAAAAATCGTGTCGAATTTCGCCTAGGAGAGGGCGTCCTATTTTTCGAAATTAGTTCAAATTTTCGGAATTTGATGGTGTTTGAAAAAACGTTAATTCATCAAGTAACTTACTTAACAAAACAAACATAATAGTGAAATAAGTTTATAAATAGTTTAACAATATAGTGAAATATTTTTGGTGTATTTGGACTGAACCATAAAGAGTAATTTAATAGACAATTCGTGGTACACAATTTTTACGAGTTTGTGCTTTAGTAATTCGCGAATTTAAAATACAAAAAAATTTTGAACAGTAAAGCATTTAAAATCCCTGCTGTAAAAATTTATAATCTATAATGCGCGTAGATGACGTCACGCATAACTGGTCACATTGAAAAGCTTATTGTGACTATTCCAGGCCAAGCCAAATGTCCCTTGAAGCTGCCATGTAAGTAACTCGCGGCAATTGTTAGATATTGTGCGAACAAGAAATGGGGAGAAATGAAGAATTAAAAAAAAAAGATCTGACAATAAGGTGATCCATTCTGTAAAGCGGATTACCAAAAAAAAAAAGGCTTTTTTAAACTTTTTTTGTTTTTCCGTCCCCTATTTTTTCAGTGGGTTCGGGGCAGGTAAGGTGGGCAAACAAACTCTTTTTTTAGCCTAATGGCCAAATTCCCACGGTGTACTACGTTTCCGGAAAACGGTGCTGTCGTGGCCACTGCTGTCTCTTATACACATCTAGATGTGTATAAGAGACAGTCTTTATAGAGAATGCAGAAGGAATCGGATAACTGACATGTTAAGTTGAATATTGGTGGGGAAATCAATTCCGCGGCATATTTTAATGTCAATGAATAGACAGAGTCAGGACCGGTGGGTCTTTAGTCACAAAAAACTGCTTTTTTTGCCGAAATTGAATAAATCAAATCAAAACAAACCATCAAAACATCAAATGTTAAAGGATAAGCGAGCGAGTGAGCGTCTACACTATATATTGTATATGTATATCTTAAATATATTTTCAATACATCTTAAATAAATAAGTATATTGTTATAATGTATATATATATATATACATACATACATACATAGATTATAACATACATACTTATATGTACGGTTGGGTCAAATTTGTGTGGTGGTTGAAAAATACAGGGGGAGTTTTTATGGCCCAAAATGGTGATTTCAGACCACATTAGTAATGTAATTCGACAGGCAAATTACAGTAACATTTTTAGCAA